CCAGCAAACGCCCCCCTCCTCGCCCACGCCGCCTTCCCCCCGCCCATACCTCCCACAGTAGCCCATGCATTCCGCACACGGCCTCTGGCGGCCGCTCGCACAAGGGTGGAGGGGCGCTTGTAGGGTCTATTTTAAGGGCACATGTGGGCCAGTCCTCCCGCCAGTCCTCGCAGGGAGAGGGAGGAAGGCTCGAGTGCGGCGGGGAGGAAGGGTTGTCTGACGGCCGGGAACAGGAGGAGAACCTCGGGACAGACTGGGAGACGTGGAGGGGCGGGGAGGCCGAGGGGGAGGGTCGGGGCACGGCGGCGGCGACTCGCGATTCGATGTGCACACGAGCGAGGAGAGAGAGAAGAGAGAGAAAGAGAGAGAGAGAGAGAGAGAGAGAGAGAGAGAGAGAGAGAGAGAGAGAGAGAGAGAGAGAGAGAGAGAGAGAGAGAGAGAGAGAGAGAGAGGGGGGGGGGAGAGGAGAGGGAGAGGAGGGCGGAAGGGGACACAGAACGGACCTAAAGAGGAAGCGGGTTCCGTTAGTAGTTATTTTACATTTATCTTTTTAAACAAGTTCTTTCGTTCATGGCGTGCCTTTTGTATCAATAATGCCAATTATTTAATATCTAATATTTCAATCACTCATTATTTTTTCTAACATTATCCGGCTCATATTACAGTGATATCCGTTACTACAGGAAGTAATATCAGTCATACCTTTAATATCCTAGACAGCATTATCATCACCATTATCCTCATTCACATCGACGCTGCTTGCAATTCAGCAATCGTTTTCATTAGAGGAACTACAAAGCAGAGCCCTCAGCAGTCTGCGCGGGCGGAAGGTGCAGCGGGAAACTGATACGGCTGGGTCATATCAGGGGCGGGTCGGCAGGGTGGGAAAGGCGCGACTCAGCACCACGCGGGCGCCTGCTGACCACATGTGTCGGGGTGGTGGGGTGGGGGGGTCCTTTTCCTCTCAGCGTCAGGTTGCCTCCTTCACCTCTCGCCGACCTCACATACATCGCACGGCGGATCTAGGCAACAAATTCTCTCTCTCTCTCTCTCTCTCTCTCTCTCTCTCTCTCTCTCTCTCTCTCTCTCTCTCTCTCTCTCTCTCTCTCTCTCTCTCTCTCTCTCTCTCATATATATATATATATATATATATATATATATATATATATATATATATATATATATATATATATATATATATATATATATATATATATATATATATATATATATAGTATATATATATATATAATATATATATATATATATATATATATATATATATATATATATATATATATATATGTATATATATATATATATATATATATATATATATATATATATATATATATATATATATATATATATATATATATATATACATACGCACGCACACCATATGAATATATGAGTATGCATGTGCACGTGCGTGCGTGCATGTGATTAATCATTCCCTCCCTTCCTCTCCGCCTGTGTCTGTCTTTCTCTCTCTCCTCCCTTCCCTCCCGCATGCGCTTGGGCACATCTCCAGCCCACGCACCAGCTCTGTTTTGCCCTTTCCTCTGACACACGAGATGCTCTTCACAAGTGATCCGGGAAAGAGGTTCCCTGGAGAGGGTCGCGCCGCTGAGCGACCGGGGAGGGAAATCAAGCGAAGGGTGCGTGCGGGTTGGCACACAGCAGGGAGAGGCACATAGAGAGTTTCACTGCACTGAGTAAAAAGGAAATTTTGTAGGTTTGCTAATGCTGAAGAATGCAAATCTTGACGAATTTAACACAAGGGCACTCATCGAGCCGCAGCCAAGGAAAACAGCGAGGACAGTAAGGAAGAAAGGGCAAAGTACATGCGGAGGGACTGAGAGGGAGCCATGGTCACAGTACAACCGCGTCAGGTCCCTTGGTCCGTGGGGACCGAAAACCAGTACTAAGAATAACATCATTACTGCTCGTTACCTATTTAAACTTGTAGCCACAACTTCTACACTGCTCAGACTACTGAATTACTGCGCTCCATTCCGCTGACGCCGCATCGCGCCCTGGTTGCGAGGCGATGATGCTTACGGCCATTGCGATTTTTTTTAAGAAGTCTATTGGCGTGTGCCCAATCGTCGCCAAACCACCATTAGCTCGCAGTAAGTGAGCGGAGTTATTCCTCATCTTTGATGTTTTACGGCTGAGACCTGTGTCAATATGCGGGTTATATCAACACGTAGGCTGTACTGCTCTAAAAGTATGTCTGGTAGTCTGGCACACTATTTGTTGTTAACACGCGAGACCAAACGCGGATTTTTTTTTATCACAGCTTCTACCACAGGAGGCATTAGCAACAGTCTCAGCGAAGCTCAAATCCCTGCGTCCCACAAGTAAGCAAGAAGCAATTCGAGCCACTCCTGAGATACAGGCCTTCGAGCACGCGCGGCGGAATCCAAAGCGCTTTCGCTCAAACAAGTATCGGGGGCGACTTCCGGTTTGCTTGCATCCTGATGTGCTAGTCATAATTCGAAAGATATTCATTAGGCCAAACAAAAAATAAAGAACCAATGGTTGCTACTTGCGATTGGCTGGCAGAGGTCGCACCAAAATAAAACAAAGCCAGGCGCTGTGTAAACAAACACGTTTCCATTTTTTTTTTTATTCTTATCGTTTTCCATTTTTATTCTAGCTTTCTGGTAGTTTATGTGCCCCTCGGTTCACCAGCTCCACATAAAACCACGTTTGTAAATATAAGTTAACCCAACAAATATATCTACTTCATTTGACATGATTGTTTTGTGCCAGGCTTGAACAAGACCGTGTCCAAGAAGTGATGTGTACTCTGGGCACGTCCTTCCCCAAATTGGCACTGTTACATACCATTCTTCCAGGGTCTCTTAACGTAATTAAAGACGATCAACTGGCGATTTCAAGCAACTGAGCGTCAACGGGGACAGGGCCCTTGTCCGACCCTGCCTCAATACAGAAGGACTTCGCTGCTGTCCACAAGGGTACAATCCGCAACTCTTGTTTCTACCACGCAGTCGCGCATCTACATCAACTGAACTGAACTCACACACATTACTGTAAACACTACGAACATCTTTCCAATTTTCATGCAGGCATCCGGAACCTACCTGGGCTAATATAGTAGTTACTATTGTACATCGTGAAAACAGGTCACGAAGATGTCAGCAGGTAAATCCTTCAGTTTCGCTGGCTGAGCTGATACCAGTTTTTCGCACGACTTATCTTCACAAAATTGTAACTTAAGAGTTCAGAACTGCGCTGAGACGGCACGCAATCACTGCAATGATTCCTGCAATGTCAGTGTGAAGTCATCCTCATCAACTGCCACTTGTCTCGCTTGGAGGTCCACCGCCCGTATCAAGTGTCAAACTAAGCGCACATGCGAGTCTCGGAAGTTTAGTAACACTGGTGTCACTGGTGTCACTCGGCGTCCGAAATGCGTTCACACCGTTGACACTATGATGCTCAAGGCTCAGGTGCTGTCTTGACGGGGCTAGAGTGCCTAGTGGCTCTCTCCTGACGTGTCCACCGCTGCAGATCCACTGGCACTCCCGCGCCCGGCACCTTCGCCTCCCTACACCACTATTTCCGGCGCCAGCCCCAGGCTCTCCCCCGCCGACCCTGGCACAAAACCAATTCCAAACAGGCGCCGAGTGCCAGCTTCTGGTGTTTCGGCCGCCTTGGGGGGCGGCCCCTCCAGCCCTAGAAACGTCATGATCTGGTGACGAGCAAATATTTTGGACATTCTTCCCCATAAGAGCATTTTGAGTTGCACAGCGCATACGCAACGCACCGCGAGGGGAAAACTTTAGCGTTTTGTCTTTTTAGAAATGAGCCACAATGCGCTGGATGACGGATCCCAGCTGGGGGAGCGAGGCTTCCATGGAAGTCAAGGCGTCCTCCCTGGATCGCCTGCGCTTCTCACTGCCGTCCTCACTGCCCTCGCATTCCTTCCCAGCCCATGGTAAGGTCTGGGGTCTCCATGTACATGTGCTTCAGTCGGTTCCTGCACGTGATTGCACTCGCGTACGTCATGGGTATGACGTCAGCGATGGCACCCGTGGCCCATGCTCCTGCTCACTCAGAACGTTCATCACCAACGTTTTACGTCACGTCTTTTGCATCAGCTCACGTTGGTCATCACGTCAAAACAACGCATTTCGAATATTTATAAAACAAAGCGACGATGTATCGTTTTTACTCCCGTTATATCTGACACAAATATAAATATTCATATATAAAGATATAAACAAATAAAAACATGACAGAAATACAACCAAATACTTGCGTCTTGCCATCTGACATGCCCACGGAATCAAAAACAGCAATGTTTACTTTTCATCATGACCATATGTAAAAATCCTTTCTTTCGTTACTGTAATACAGTAATGCTACTATCCATTCCATTTAGGCAATGCTTGATCAAATGACTTTGTAAATTCTTTCTTGATCGATAAAACCCCGAGCTAATGTTTTTTTTTTTCTGTTAGAATGGCTGTGAAAAAATGTCGCCAAGGATATATGCTGTTCGACTGTGGAAGCGAGATATGGGTAGAGACTGGATTTGCGTTCACAATAAGCCTGAGTCTGCATCATGACAGCTCGTGTCACAAGGTACTCAATGCCCTTAGTCCATCCTATTATGCGTCCCTGTCCCTTGTCAAGGCCATTTCCCCTTCCCCTGTCTTACTCCTGACCTGCACTCAAGCCGTCGTATCAGGAAATCTTACGAAAGTGCAGGCCTATCTTGGTTTCAGCGCCCCCTGTTAGCCGTATTTTGTAAAGAAAGTGAGCGTGAATGTCTTTTTAGTAGGTGAACCTGGCGGTGCCCATGATAAGCACGTTTCTTGGCCTTTTGCCTGATGCATATCAATAAAAGCTTCTCATGGGCGTTCTGATCTCCTTAAATTCACGTGCTGCTTTTTTGGCATTTTCTTCTACTCACCTCTTCTGAAGCCAAGGCAGCGGAACGAAAGGCAAAGCAAAGCACTTACTTAAGTCAGCGCACAGCAGGGTGTGTGACTGATGGAGTCGGCGACCAGAGGGAGAGCGCGAGAAGCGGACAAGTCTGGCTAGGGAGGGAAGGTCACGTGTCTGATAGAGTTGCAGCAGAACCGAACCGAACTGCAAGTCCACATTATTGTCCCCGCCTGGTGCGACATAAGCACGAGGGGAGTGCTTGACGCAGAGGCAACTACCGTCCCGCTCCCACATGTCCTACTATCATCATCTGCAGCTGATGCTTACGAAGAGTTTCGTCTATTAATCGCCAAGCGATGCACTTGGAGCCACTGCTTCCCGGCCGCCCAGAAACCCGCCTTTGATAGGGCGCCCACGTGGTCAGCGCGGCCCACGCGGGTCGCATGACATCATTACAAATGACGCTGTTCGCATTCAGCGCTTTTGTGTCATGCTGTTTGCCGTCTTAGGACTCTGCCTCATCACTATTTCAAATATCGTTATTTGCCAAACCTTTTCCTCAAAATATGCAATTTTCTCTGCCAAAGCACAGCGTACCTCACTATAAAGCCGAGAAATGAAACATTGAAGACATGTGTCGACAATAAAGCCGCAACATGAAACACAGTACAAATATCTCGGGCATTCAAGAATATCCCAAAGGAAGACCCCGAAAAAGAGAGCTGTAAATCCCCGTTGGAAGGGACCACAATCCCTTGAGCCAGAAGGCTGTGATTAAAGAATCTTCTGGGAGTTGCTGGCCCGTTTACAAGGTGTTGCTGGTTGGCTCGCCGCGGCGCTGATCTCTGCTACAATTTGGAAGCTCACACGCGAAAACCAGAGATTGTGTCTCAGTCTATCTACTTATATCAATCTATCTACCGATCTCAATCTTTCTATCTATCTATCTCTCTATTTCAATATATCAATATACTCTTGAAAACTCGGACCACGGTGTCAAACAGAGCTAGCAATGTACAAACAATGTACAAAAGTTTTCTCGGACAGAGCATTGCAAAGACAGATTTTTTGCGAACACAGTAAAGGAGCACGGTCGAGCGCCAGTTGGGGGGGGGGGGGGCAGCGACGCGACCTACCTCACAGACCCCGAACAGAAGCCAACAACAATTAGCTTTGTTACAAAACAACGGTCAGTATGTTTGGCGAGCTAAAAGTCCGGGACGTGATTCATTCGGTGTAGATTTATAAAACGTTTTCTAAACCATGCCCGAACTCCTGCGATATAAAACACTTAGTAGGAATAACATAAAAATTGAGTTACTGTTGTAAACGTCAGTAGCTGCCTTTATTGATCTTACATTGCATGGTTAATGTCGTCTTGAGAAGGCCTGTTGTAAGCTAAAACAACGGATGTGCAGGGTAAAATATGTATGTATGTATGATGTAAGTTTATGTATGTATGTATGTACATATATGTGTGTGTGAGTGAGTGTGTAATTGTCCATGTGTGCAAACAACATGAACACACGTTTCGGTCAGTACACTGACCAGAACGCCGCTGCACAACATTGACACTCAAGGCAGGCTTGTAGAGAGGCCTGCGCGGCGCGTTGGCTGCGGCCGCGACGAAGGCGACTGTAGGTGAAGCTGTGTCAGTCGCCGCAGCTCCTCCGGGAGAGCGACGCCGACGGGTATGTGCGACGAATAGAAACTCACGAGGCTAGGAATGCATGTGTGCAGCTCGTCAACTGACCCTCCGACTGAACGAAGATGCTGTCGGCCTATGAAGGGAATGGGTAGTGTTCACAGTGATGAGAAATGTAGAAAAGGGTATGGATGAGAAGGAGTATCTACACAGCGCAAGAGATTTTTGTTCGGTTTCGACTATATCTTCGCCTGGTATACATATAGATATGGAAAAATATAAATCTTTGACTGTGAAAATATTCATTCAAATTCATACTTTTTCCTACACGGGTTATGAATTGCGGGTACCAACGAGACGAGGCTAAAGCGGCCGCATGGACACGGTCTACAGCACGCAGAAGCGGCGCGAAGCTGACACAGCAGACCAACGTTACTCGCAAGTGGCGGCCCAAAGAAAGGTTTCACGAATATGTTGTAAAATCATCCTTACTTTAAAATCTTGACTTTTTAAAGGCAGGCGACGAAGGGCCGTCTAAGCTCTATCTGGGTCGCGCCACTCGAAACGCTGGATTACCTGTACTTTCTCTTGTTACTCAAAATGCGCTTAAGATTTCTATTTCTCATACCGCCACCCCGTCGATTGACATCCCTACCACAACCGTCACGACCACATTCGATGTCTCAACAGGCGAGCGACATTTTGAAATACTCCGTAATAAGAAAAAAGGACAAACAAGAAACAAAAAGAGTTGGCACCCGTCTGGCTGCGACCGCCAGGACTGAGCCGCAGATAGGACTGCTTACCGAGGACGCTATCGATATGAGCGTGTGGCTAAGCCTCCTAGAAGATCGACAGGCGCCAAGACCATCTGATGTGGCTCATAAAAAACTAGATCTTTGATGAATGATTCGGTGACTGAGGCTGCGACGGAGCACGTTATTTCTCGACCGCGTCCGCCTGCCCGAGATCTAGTCATTTATACTAAATCATTAATATATTCAAATTCCGTCAATACTGAGTACGAACTTATATAAATGTTTACGTTCTCCTAAAAGTAGGTGTGTACCCTCACTCTTATATAAAAACATACCTTATAAATAACATATTTTATCCCAGTTTATGTATATAAATGGAAACGTAATTCCTTTCAAAATATCTCATGCTATCAAAACTTTCTATAATCTAGGTAAAACGATTGTTCAAGACCTGAACTAGTGTAAATGACGCAAATAAATCGAAGCAAAATGAGAGAAAATAAAATTTTCATAAATCTAAACTTACCCGAACCAGTCATCTGAAAATTCTCAACTTTAGCCTGTTCTTTCAGACAGGCAGGTTGTGCCCATACTTCCCTATCATGTAACCCGTACTATGCAGCGTACCCTGTGATATAAGCTACTTCGTTATGGATATAGCATTACCGAAGGGATGGGGGTTCGTGTATGTACTAGTGCGAAAACGAGTTTTTAAACCGATGGCAGATAGGCAACAACAGTGAACCTGAGCTCCTCGGCATTCCATCTTAGCAACTCTTTTGGACACATTCTTGAAAATGGAATGGAAGCTTTGTTCACCCATTCCCCTGCTTCACACTTCCTCATCCTCTTGCTTTACAATAGGCGCGTCATCTTGTCCTCTGAATCATCTCTTTATATCAAACGTCACTCCAGCGCCACTATCAAACATCGCTCTTTTGCGTGTCTTGAGCAGCGTCGGACACGCATTCGCACAAACTTTCGCTGAGGTTCTTACCGTCGTGGCGTCCTTTCAGCATAACAAGCATGTGGTCAGGTCAACGCCCTGCCATCCAGCAAGCCCCTGCTATGGTCCCACAAGGTTTGATATCCAAGCCGGCTCGCGTGCGCGTCCACAGTTACCTACGTCCTTGTTCCATTCAGGTATGAGTCCCACGGCCACTTCCTTGTCTAGTTCTCTCACATGAACAATAACATAGCGCTGAATATTAAAAAAAAAAAAACAGCCGTCCGTCTGCGTCTCGCCAAATGTCTGCAGATTCGGCGTTGCAGTCTTTGATCGTTGGGTCAACGTACTTTTATTGACAAAGCTGAAATTGATTTAAAGATTTCTTAACAGAAATGCGAACTAATCATGTTAACCACTACCATATTTCTGTCATGCACTTCTATTGTTTTCTGTCGAGTCTACGAATCTGAAGCTTGTTCGGATGCCTTCAAAGCAAAGTCGGACAGCCGCCATCCGCCACGGGCCGGGAGGTGGCATGGGCATAAACGCGGTCTCCTGTAATCCCACTTCGCCCCAATTTACTAGACCGACCTTGCCTGGCGGCCAGGGGGGGGGGGGCAAGGAGTGGGAGGGTAGGGAGGCGGGAGGGATGAGGGAGAGGAGGAGGAAGGGGAGGGGTAGGATGGGGAGGAAAAGGAGGAGGAGAGAGAGGTGCAGGAGGGGAGGAGAGAAGCAGCAGGAGGAATAGGGGGAGGAAGATGAAGAATAGGAAGAGGTGGAGAGGGAGGAGTAGAAAGATGAAGAAAAAGATGGAGGAGGTGGAGGCAGAGTAGGAAGAGGGGAGATGGAGACAGAAAAAAGAAGAAGAACGAAGGGAGGAGGAGGTTGAAAAAGAAGAGAATAAGAAGGAAGAGCAGTAGGAGAAGGAGAAGGGAGAGGAGGAAGAAGAAAATGAGGAAGAGTAGGAGTTGCAGTGTAAGGAAGGAGGAAGCAGGAGGTAGCGGAGTCGGAGAAGGAAAAAATGAAGAGGAAGAGGAGGAAGAGATAGAAGAAAGGAGGAGACAGAGGAGGAGAAAACAGAACAGGAGCAGGAAGAGTAGTATTATTAGTAGGAGGAGGAAGGAACAAGGGGAGCGGAGAAAGAAGTAAAAAAAAGAGGAGGAAAACGAAGAGGAAAATAATGATGAATATGATGATGAATGTGAAGAAGATGAAGATGAAGATGAGCATAATGATGGAGATGATGATGGAAATGCAGGCAAAGATGGAGATGGAAACGCAGAGGAGTGTGAATATTATAATGATGATGAAGATAAAGATGCAGACGAAGATAAATATGAAAATGAAGAAAAATATGAAGATAAAGGAAAGGAAAGGGAAGAGAAAGAGAATGAAAAGAAAAAGGAAAAGCAAATGAGAAATAGAAAGAGAAGGAGAATGAAAAGAAAAAGGAAAAGCAAATGAGAAATAGAAAGATAAGGAGAAAAAGGAGAAAGAGTAGACGGGAGAGAGAGAAGGGGAACGTAAATAATAAGTGGAGGAAGAACAGTAGGGAGAGCAAGAGGTGGAAGAGAAATAGGTGAGGGTAAGGAGGAAGCAGAGGAAGAGGTAGAGAAGGAGGAAGCAGAGGAAGAGGTAGAGAAGGAGGAAGCAGAGGAAGAGGTAGAGAAGGAGGAAGACCGGGAGGAGGAGGAGGAAGAGGAGGAGAAGGAGGTGAGGAGGGAAAGGGACGTTCGGAGGGTCCGTGCGTCGCGTCCCGCTTCCCAGGACAATGATCCGTTGCTTTCTCCGTCACTGCTCGGGCCAAAGAATACAAGCTAAAACATTGCTTTGAGTAAACACTTGTGGTCTGTACTTGCATCGTGAACGGCGATACTTATACCATTCGTTATGCGCAGCGTGTCAAGCGTATGACAGCGCCTATTACGAATCCAATCAAACTCATTCAGAATTTCTT